ACCAGGGCTCGAGGGTGGGTGGGAGAGTGGGGTAATTCCTTTTGGAAGACCGTTTGCAAAAAATAATATGTGAATGCCATTTACCGGCCGGAGTAGTTAAAAATCGGCATTGGGCTTTGAAAGCGTAGGTCTGAAGAAGGTGTATTGTAGGCTGTTGAATGGGCCAGGGGAAGGGGCCCGGACCTCCAGTGCATATTCACCAAGGGGGAAGAGACAAGTGGCTACACCTGGCAGCGCTGTGGCACACCAATTAAAGGGCCTGCCAGCATTCTTCGGCCCTTACACAAGAAGCCGGCCAAAGAATGGCGGGACAGAGATGAGAACGGAGGGGGGGAGGGGGGAAGGGGGATGAGGGGATAGAAAGGTGGGGAGGTGGGGAGAGAGGAAGGAAAGAGAATAAAAGGAGGGACCACTGCAGTCTCCCACGAAGCACGAGCATGCGCGCACACATGCACACACACTCATACACACACCCTAAGTGAGGTGAGCGATGTTAAAAAGGGTTTGTGTGGGCGAGGGGGAGGTTGGGCATTGCAGTTGTGGGTATGAGACAGGAACCAAGGGAAAGCACAGCAAGTGCTCGGGCAGTTCTTTACTGAACAATGTGATTCACTGTGTTAGTGCCTTGTTCCTATCCAGTGGGACTAATTAAATGCTATATGTGTCATTTGACTCTTCTGGCCACCAATGGTGTAAAAAAGAGGGAAAAAATGAAAGAAAGAAACTAGATAGCTGAACTGTAATTTTAAAAATGTATTGTTAATTTAAAGAGAAATAATCAGAAATGTCTTTCAATCAAAGGAAAAAAGCACCACAAATGTAACCATCAACTATGTACAATCATTTCTTCAATCTATTATACAATCAATCTATTTTCAGATGAACTGCTACATCTTGGTAGCTGAAAGGCTTTACCTGGAATTATTAATACATAAAAAGTCAAACAGTATAGAGGGGAAATACCACTAGCAAGCCACATTCTTACGAGCAACAGGAGTGCGCCTAACCATCTATTCATCAAGCAGCTTTCATTTCATACCCAGTTCTCTCCACTGCCCAGAGGTAGCAATGTCACTGTACCCCCAAGACAGTCTTTCTCTACTGAACACGAGCAGAGAATTACACTGCCATGTGTCAGGGGACTGCTGCGGCCCAGTAATCAAAGAGGCGAAGACTAGCACACTCACAGTCACCCAAGTAACAATGATATATATGGCCCCTAATCAGTGCTGACAGAAGAAGTAATTAAACATCTCAATAATTTAGCGAGGGCTGAGGAGCGGGGCGAGCCCTCTCAGGGAGCTCTGCACCTGGGCCAGCACTAGTGAAGAGAAACAAGGGAGCTGTTAATACTCTCAATATAACTTACTGATAGAGTCCTGAGGCCAAGAAAATGTCCCCAAAATGTTCCTGAATATCAAGAGACTGCAAAAAAAATATGTAACTCAATGATTTATACTTCCAAACATAGCCAAATATTTCAGGTTTGTCACATCAATGCAATGAAAATTAACTGCCAGCACGGGTGCTGGCTGCTGTTCCAGTCTTGCGACCCCCCACCCTTCAGCTCTGTCCCACGTGTGCTTTTTTGTCCAGTGCCTAATCCCTTAAAAACTGCTGTTTAACGCGCTCTACTTTATCCCCTCCTCATCCCGGGCCCTAATGTCCTCGCCTGCTCCATTAACCGGCAGAGAAAGGGCCAGGATTAGACAGATAAAAAGAGGGTGAGTTCTGTTTGGATAACACCCTCCCTGCCAGGCCCTGGCAAAACAGGATTATCACCAGCGAGCCAGCATGTTAGTAAGTCTGGGCAAGGAAGGAAGAAGAGAGAAAGGAAGGGGGGGAAAGGAGGAAGTGTACATGTGGGTACACAAGACAAACTTGAGAGTTCATGTATCTGGGGGAAAAAAATGAATGAAAGCATGGATGGATGACTGCACCTACTATATGTGAAACATTTGATCACAGTCAACCACGCAAGGCATGTGTCACAATATATCACAATAGAAGAGATCCAAGGCCCTACTGCTAATGAGCCTTGTCAAAAACAGCACGATTTGGCCTTCATGCTAGAGCTGCCATGGGACCACCAGGTTTTTGATACAATATAGTGCCAGTTTATTAAGTATATCTACTTTGTACCTGAACTCATTGGCCATAGTGCCAGGTACACCTACAATATAGATCACTTTGTTGGTATACAATTACTGACTGCAGCTCATCTATTTCAGCCCACAATGTCCTCCATCTAATAATGGAAAAGGACCACCACTGAGCAGAAATTTTTTAGTGGTTGCCCATTTGGATGCACTGCAGCATTACACAGTACATCAGTCACACCAGCACTGCTATAGAGAAGGGCTGGCTCGTTGTGCATAGCGACAAATGGGCTATGTTCAGTAACTGTATACCTACTCAGTGCCTTTATATAGTAAATGAATGAATGAATGTAGGTGCAGGAGATAAAGTGTCATCTCAATGGATAGTCACAAGTAAATTCAACTCAGGGAAAATGCTGAGTGCTGAGAGAATGAAAAGTATGCCAGGAGGCACACCCAGAAGTCCATGAGAGATTCTGCAACTCTGTCAATGACGCCCCAAAACCACTGAATGCCCCTTTGTGCCTTTCCAGTTGTTTATAGGTCGTTGGCACGGCTAACACTGTTACAGCTAGTATAATGCATACAAAACAATTAGCATTTATATGGCACTCTTCATGTGGGCCATCTTTGGCCACTCTTTAAACTCTTTTAGTTGTAAAGCTCAACAAAAGCCAGTGCCTAAACAAGACCTGTATCTGGGCAAGCCTTAGGCAAACAAGTATGGCCAATGGACTTGATTTTTTAAAATAAAGACAGCACTAAACTGGTAGTTGTTTGCTGGAACTGAATAGGCAAGTGCATGTGCTTTGGGCCTATAGAGTTTCTGGTGTCTACTTATTCAGCATTCAGTGACCTCGACACGCAGGGAGAACATTCCCGGGCCACGAAGGACCTGGCATTAGGCAGCCATGCTAAAAGAAAATGGCTCCTTAATAAGGTAAGCCAATTAGCATGCTGAAAGAGAGAGCGATGTGACAAGAATGAGAAATGTCCTCGAAGTCTGATGATGTCAGTGAGGACAGAAAATAACGACTTCCAAAAAAATCTTAGAATAAAAAAATTTATGCTGCCAAAACGTTAATGGAGTGTTGTAAAGTAGTAAAACAACTTTTGTTCTTTCCCTTTTTTCCACAATACTATCATTAAGAAAAACACCACTTGCTTGACACCTACTACTTACTCTTATGTTCTTCACTGTAAGAATGTTACAAATCTGCTATCAGTCCATTTAAAAGTGTACTGTTTGTTAAATTTGTCTCTTCTTCACATGTTCAAGATGAACGGGAATGAAAGACAAATTCAACGGGGGAGAAACAGAGGGTGAAAGAGATGTAGGGGAGAAAAAATACTGAGTGTGGTAGTGTCAGGGAGTGGGATGTTTGGGAAGAATGAAGGCCTGTCACACTTTGTTTTTCTGCCTGTTGCTTCTGAATGCCACTAATTAGTTAGCTGGGTGGGAGGGAACACAGGGTGAAGAAGGAGCAGGCAAAGGGACTCTACCCTCCTGCTAGGAGGGAGTGAGAAAAGAAAAAGAGGGAATGAACACAGTCAAAGTAACAGTTAAGAGTGTGACAAAAATTCATACGCAATTCCAGTATCTATGCTACCGCTCAAAAATTTGGAATCACCTGTAAAATTTTATGAACAGTCAATAAACTCCTATACAATGTAGTAGATCTAATACCTTCAATATGGTACTGACAGCAAAATATATATATTTTTTTAGAGGATTTGTTTGGTATCTGAAGTATTTTGAGGGAAAAAATAAGTTATTTGAAAAATACTGAAAAATTAATTAAATGAGAAACAATTCACTGGAATTATTTATGTATAGTAATTCCTCCTTTAAGATTTGATCATTGCTTTAAAAAACATCCATTCTACATATTTTCAAATTAACATATTCATCATTCTGGACCTAAGCCCATAACTCTACAATCATATTACAATTTTTTTTTTTTTTTTTAGGTACATCTCAAACAAAATGGAGTTTATATTACTGAATCTGATTCTAAACTTTTGAAACAGTGGATAGAGAGTGATACAGAAAGAGGAGCAGCTCATCAATTCATTTTTTTTTAGACAGACAATGTGTTATAACATGCGAAGTGTTATACAATGGATTTCCTTCATAGAGAATTTAACGCAGGTGCTGTTTCCAGGTTGTGTGCCAGCTCCCGGTGTGAGCACGGTAATACATACTGGTTATGTTCAGTGATGTTCTGTTCAAGGGAATTCTATAAGATGACAGTAATACCAGAATCACTCCGATTAATTTTCAACACAGCTAGAAGCAGTGATGTTAAATTTTTTTCCAAAACAAAAGGGAATATCTACCTGCAAAATCAGGAATGTTACTAAGATAAGGTCTGGAAGGTTTGAAAGTGAAGACTTGACACAGGTAGAGGATAGTGCACCTGGAGGGAGTAAAGATGTAGGCCCTCAAAACAGTCCACAACACAAACAGTAACAACCAGCCCAACCCCCACGCAACCCCCCCAAACTCTCCCACGCCCAGTCTGCCACCTTCACATACAAATTGTATGGAGGCATACACTCCAACTATGGCCAAAAGTATGTGGACACCTGACCAACACACCCATATGTGCTTGTTGAACATCCCATTCCAGATTTAGTCCCCACTTTGCTATAATAACCTCCACTCTTCTGAGAAGGCTTTCCACTAGATTTTGGAGCGTGGCTGTGGGGATTTGTGTTCATTCAGCTACAAGAGCATTAGTGAGGTCAGGCACTGATGTTGGATGAGGAGGTCTGGGGTGCAGACGGCGTTCCAATTCATCCCAAATATGTTCAGTGGAGTTGAGGTCAGGGCTCTGTGCAGGGCACTCGAGTTCTTCTACTCCACACTTGGCATAGCATATCTCGCCAAGATATCTCGCAGTCGTGGCCTAATGGATAGAGAGTCGGACTTGCAACCCAAAGGTTGTGGGTTCGAGTCTCAGGTCCGGCAGGGATTGTAGGTGGGGGGAGTGAATGACCAGCGCTCTCTCCCACCCTCAATATACCACGACTGAGGTGAGACCCTTGAGCAAGGCACTGAACCCCCAAACTGCTCCCCGGGCGCCGCAGCAAAAAAAAGGCTGCCCACTGCTCCGGGTGTGTGTGTGTGTGTGTGTGTGTGTGTTCACTATTGTGTGTGTGCACTTGGATGGGTTAAATGCAGAGCACAAATTCCGAGTATGGGTCACCATACTTGGCCACAAGTCACTTCACTTCACTTTGCGCACAGGAGCATTTGAGCCCCTTAGTTCCAGTGAAGGCAAATTGTAATGCTACAGCATACAAAGACATTCTATACAATTGTGTGCTTCCAACACTGTGGCAACAGTCTGGGGAAGAACCACATATGGGTGTGATGGTCAGGTGTCCACAAACATTTGGCCATAGAGTGTATGTTAATCATATAACACAAATTCAGTGCATGTGCAAGGATGAGTTCATGTTTGTATTTGACAGCAAAGAGTTCTGTGGTTATAATGCTTAATGGTGCACTGGGGAGAATTTGGCCTCTAGCAGTTACAAGGTGAACAATAAGAACACTGGAATGATTTGTTTACTGCTTGACCCCATCTCCCATCCATTTCCATTTCCACAAAGTCCTGCCTTCAAGAATCACCAATGGCCAGAGGAGTTTATCCCTGTTGTTCTGCAGCTAGCTAGCTAACTTTCCATCTTATCATTCTACTTGGCCAGCTTAAAATGTATAAAAAGTATACCCACCTTCGATTTCTGCTAGTCAGGGTCACAGAGAGCGATCACATCCCCAAACAGCATAAGATTTAACCATAGTGCTGTAATTATGATCTAAACTAATCTGATGAAACAAAAGGGTGCAAATAGAGCACAAATATTATACTAGATAGCTAACACTAACTAGCTACCTAATACTAAATCTAGCCCAAAAAAAGAGAGACAATATTCGTTGGCCGCTTTGTAAAGTTTCAGATGTGTTTTTACAGTCAGAGCTCAGAGCCGTTGCTGTATTTGTAGCTCAGAACTGAGGCATGCAGCTGCTTCTGCCTTTGGGGGCATCGACAGTTGAAAGGCTGCCACCTACTAAGGGGCAAAATCTCCCTTCTTTTATCACAAATTGAGGCAGAGTGGTAATTCAGACAAACTGATTTGACGTTTAAAAATACATTAATTAATATAATACATTTTTGTCAAACTAATCTTTTTGCATGAATGTGTTTACAGGTCAAAAGATTTTTGGGCTGAGGTAGCTTTTAAACCCCTGAAACACTGACACGGTGGTTTACTACTGATTTGTAGCCTTGGAGGCGTGAGCGCACCTTTAGAGCAATTCTGCACTATAAGCACTATAAGGACAGGCGAGCTGACCATATAAACATAGAGCTTATGGCAATTAACAGATACCGTGTGTGTGTGTGTGTGTGTGTGTGTGTGTGTGTGTGTAATACATTCTCACCTGCTGGAGGTCAGCCAGAGAGTACAGGTGGATGTGCTGTAACAGGTATTCCCTTGGAAAAATCCTGCAGAAACAGCAACCGAAATGAATCAGACAAATTTTCACACAGTACATCACTAACACCAAAGTGTATTATAAGTGCAGTATTATATTGTACTATTATACTGCACTTACACTGTCACATCACACTGCACTAAGATGGACACAGACATCCTTCCCCATCCCAGAACAAACTCTATCCCATCATTATGCTCCTGTATCCATGACAACATGAGTCCAAATTACTGGGGAAATAGGGGTTAATTTAATTGAATTGGAAAAAGCCTGTGGAATAGCCATTTAAAAGCACTCTCCCTTATTACAGGTGAAGTGGGGCAGCTCACTCCTCTCTCTCTTTCTCTCTCTCTCCCCCTCTCAATGTCAGCCTCTATCTCTTTCTCAGTCTGGTTGGCTATTATGGCCCTCTTCACCCCTCTCCTCCCTTGAGCGTACTCTGCTCTCCTCGTTCGCTCTCTCCATCACTCGCCTACGCCTGCTCACATTACAAATCAAGAGCCCACAGTGGCATCCGGAAAAAAGAGGGGATGGGAGAGAGCGAGGAGGAGAGGGAGAGATGAATAAAGGCAGTCAATAGAGATGATGGGTGAATGAGAGGGAGAAATGAAATGAGACAGACATGGATGGATGGAGAGATGGGAGTGAATGACAGGGCCTTGTAAAGTGAGTGAGCAGGTTCATCTGGGTGGAAGAGAGAAAGCAGATGGACACTGTGTGAGGAAAAAACAAACAAACAAACAAAAAAAAAAGGCTCAATGGTAGCCAGCCAACTAAAGCGTTCATATCATGATTTACAGTGAGTCACAAACGTCTCACATCCCTTATAATGCATTTTGATCAAACTTGCATGCATCCTTTTTTGTCATGTATTCAACTGTATTAATCAGAAACACAGCTATTAATGCATGAGCAGAAAAACCTGGCACCTTGTCACTGCTAACCACTCAGCTGGAAAAAGAAAAACATTTGTAATATTGGAAATGAATTTATGAACACAAAGACCAGAGTCTATTTTACGGGAAGCACAAAATACAGGATTTTTGTAAATAGGATTTCTTTAAAAAGGTTTTCACTGTCTAATCTTGTTAAAATACTCTCCCTATGCTTGCAAAGATGACTTCTGATATTTAATTTTTAAAATTATGGTGTAATATAGCTATATATGTCACTGTAGACCTTTCTTTTTTTTATCCTGTAGGCTACTAAATAAATAAGGTTAAGGAAATCCATGCTAACCAATAACTATACTTTTGGTCCCTCTACGATGACAATTTATTCTTTTTTTAATTTTAAAAAAAAAAAGACTTTTTCAGGTGAATCTGTCCAACAGTGCAGACAATCCCCTCACACCTGTATGAAGCAGCACTGGCCACTGATAGGAACTCAGGACTGTAATCTAGCAGCACACCCCCACCTTGGAGACACGTATTCCTGCTATAGAGCTGTCTACTAGAACAGAGCATACTGGTCTTCTCTGCTTCAAGAGGCGGGGTAACTGGACTGATTAAGCATGGGTCCTCTGGGAGATGGTAAGGCCCTTTCGGTGCATCTCAAGCTTCTCTCAGTAAATAGCTCCCCGCTTCCACTCTGCGGCTGAGCTCTGTCATTAGCAAAGCTGCTGTACAGATGTTGGGGAAAAGAGAGGACTCATGGCAGAAACTGTGTGTGTGTGTGTGTGTGTGTGTGTGTGTGTGTGTGTGTGTGTGGAGGAGGGGCTGGCTGGCAGCGCGCGAAAGGGCTCCTAATGACACGGATGGGATGAGAGAGGGGACTGGCTGACAAAATGCGAGCAGCAAGGGAGTAATTTAGTGTAAATGGTGGGGATAGGAAGTTGGAATAGCTGAGGATGCATATACAGAAACAAGAGTGAGCGCATACATGTGGTTAAAGGTATGAGAGTGTTTAGAGACAGAGATTTGATGGGCTTCTATACGCTTTTTTTTTTTTTTTTCAAGCAATTAACCTTAATTTGTTACTGCTTACTCATTAGGTTAATGTTGAACTTATGGGTACAATATCTAATACAAAGTATAAATAGTTGATTAATAGATGATTTTCCAATGTTTACACATACTTCACCAGATTTTCTCTCCTCTTAATGTAAAGTTTGTAGTCCAGCAACAGTAGGTTGGTAAATACAAGACTCAACAATCCTGATTTCACAGGTTTGTGATATTATGCATGGTTCTGCTTGACTGGCAGAGCAATAAAGCTTATTATTCGAATATTAGCACAACACCTGGAAAGTTCTCAGATCAGTCTAATCAGACAATTCAGCTGGAGTTTAAGTGGTACTGTAACCTATCTTTGCTGGGTTTTTGCAACATAACACTGAAGTCCGGTATCATATAACCGACCATAAATCATTAGGTAATTACACACATTTCTTACAGTGGGATGCCATCACTGCTCTCTGAGTATATTATTCACCATAAAGAGAGGACGTCCACCATTTAAGTTCTGGTTATTATGACTATAATGTCTGACTGATATTAGTAACAAAAGCAGCAGTAAATTAATGGCTAATGGGAATGGAGCAAAGCAGCAGTCCATTTGCCTTTATTCAGAGCTCTGGTCCGGTTCTCATTAGATTCAGCTGCTATTACTGAACTAATCTCAGCCTAAACTGAGACATGGAGGAAAGGAGTGTTTGTTTAGATGAGGATGAATTTTTTCTTTTATGTTTTGGGGAGGTGTAATGGTCATAAGAGAGAAAGGCAGCAGTGTGAGCAATACTACTAAGATAAATGGAGAGGCTGAAAGCCGGTTTGTTACTGTGTGTTAATATGCAGTGAAGGCATATCCGAAGTAAAGACACTTGATCTAAAGTTCATGAAATTAACCTGGAGTCACAAAAAGACACACACTGGGGGGTGGAGGGGGGGGCGGTTCTTGGATGGGGAGTGTGAATGTGTGAGTATGGAATATTTGCACTTTACTTTGTTGAGGAATGATGGATTGTACACATACTCTTAATTCAGTAGCATAATGAGCAAGCAATGAGGATGGTATCAGTGAAAGCCTAAGATACATTTAAAAAAAAAAAAAAAAAAAAAAAAATGAGATACGGAGAATTATATTAGCATTCTTCATTCTTCTTCTAGCCAGGCTAAATATACTAATATACTACACTGACAGAATGCATGAGCTACCCCATTATCCAATGTGAGACATGATGAAATCCTAACTTAATCCCCAGACAAGTACTGTTTCCCTGATTAGGTTGGATCAGTTTATTTAAACAAAGTATGAGGCATGCAAAAAACTCGGATCATTACAGGCTATTCTTGTTCTTTATAGTTCTCCACAATCGTACCAGTCAGTCATAGCACCAATGGGTCTCTCATTCTCTCTATCTCTATTTGGGTGTAAATATGTGTTCTCATGGCACCAGTCAATCTCTCTTTCTCTCACCCACAGAGTAAATATATTCTCTGGGCTATAGTGTTTGTTGGTGGTTGGTA